AATAACTAATAACTTGAAAGTTTTCAGGAACGGTATGTCCATTTGAAAGTTTTCAGGAACGGTATGTCCATTTTTTGGTCAATATTATGCAGCACTAAAGAGAAAGATACTGTGATATCTATTTAATTTAAATTATAGATTACATTTTATATATTAGCACACCTTTTCATTTTTGTAAAGCATAGCAAAGATTAGCATAATTGCTCAACAAAATGCAGAGGTCACAGCAAACTCCACGTGCCCTTGTGCTGTGTATAAAATATAAAATAACTATTAAGTCGATGTCATAAAATATGAATATATTTCTTACTGAAAATACATCATGCGCCATCCATAAAGAATGCTTACATGGGGTTCTTTACAAGAATGAAAAAAATAATCTCGTTTTGAAGTATCACATGCCTCACTGATCTTTCCTACAATTACATTATATTGTTAACCTCCCGAAGGAGGGTGAACAAGCTGAGCCCCTCAGATTAGGAACTTGATCTGGAAGCGAGGCTTCTTTAGTTGGAGGTGGAGCGATTACTGATTACTGTTGACGTCAGAAATTAATATTCAGTGGAATGCACGAGATTGGGCTGAACTGTGGGGGGCGTGACCGGCAGAGATTCAGGGGAATGCACTGCTCAGTTTTCATGGCTCAGTAAAGGGACCAACGCTCATGGTCTAAATTGAAACTAATGGCTGGAGCGTTCTTCATGGCTCTGCTCCAGAGCATGTAGGAAAACTTCACTGAACGATTCACGCACCGGCCAATTACAACAGAAAATTCAGTGAGATCTTCCCGAACTTTCTAGAAAATTAATATGTCACATCTCCGCCACATAAACGCACTGAGTCACACTTAGTGTTGCTAACGGAAACATTGCTATTGGTACTTTGTCAAAAATGCCACTGTGGTTTCTTTGGTGTGAATAAACTGCAAAAATACATAAGATCCTAATAAGATTACTGACATTGTGAAATGGGAAAAAAGGAGCTAAAGGTGTAAGGGAAGGTGGGATGGGTAGGGGGAGGGAAATAAGGGAAAAAATGTGAAATAATGAAAAGATGGAAATAAAGTGTTTGTAGATGGGAGGGGAGAGGGGGTGAAGGGAGGGCAGGGACAAGGGGAAAAATTGAGAACTAAGATCTGTCATGTAGAGGTACAAGATCCCAAAGATGAATGTAACTACTGTATGCCTAAAATATACTAATAAACTCAATTAAAGCTGAAAAAATTGCCTCTGTGATAGGGTAAAATGTTGCTAGTGAAAAATTACTGAATTAATTACAGCATAGAATAATAATGACTTCTTAATTTACTTCTCTTTCTCAAAGTTGAGATTCCAACTTGGAATATAGGTTCGTCATTCTAATATCTGACTTTACAATGAATGTGAAATTTGCAAAGTTTCTTCCTTGTGTAGTTTTATTTCAATGTACACTTTCTTATATATTTCAATGTAAACATGAATTTCAATTTGAGTAATTTAATGCATCGAATTTAAATGACCTGTGATTCATTATATTAACTTTTACTCTTTTCATTTACATATAACTGCATGCACTGCTTACATATTTATGTTTTTTTTATATCAATTACCACGTTGAAACTCTACTGTGGTGCATATAAATGTGGTATATACTAAATTTCTCCAAAAATAAAGATCACGTTCCATTGTTTTTTACTTTAGTGTTTGGAAAGAAGAATCTATTTTGCAAACAATTTAGTATATATGAGTAGTTGTTTATTTTTAAGATTACATGCATCAAATTGAATAGCTAATACTTCAGAAGCAAGATAACATGATACATTTAACTGAGCACCAAAATGTCCATGTTGCTGGGACTGAAATTTTCTTGTTTTTTGCTGCATACACAGAGCTTAGTTTGTGGCTGACAGGTGGCATATAATTCATACATATTTTTTGAATGTTGAGTGGATAAGAAAGGACGAAGAAAATAATTTTTGTTCTACTTCAGAGACAGAAAATGTAATCTTTGATTGCTACAGAGGGCAGACTTCTCTGCTTTATTAGTCAGTGAACATTTTGAGTGCCTAACATGTGGCAAACTCTGCTTTGCTGAAAAGATAAATATAAGAGGTCCCTGAACTGAGGTATCATCAATTTAAGACAAGTATTGATACAGAATGACTATGTTCACAATTAGGTAAATTTATGGAAAAGTAAAAGCCGAACAAAAGGTTTTGCAAGGGGCCACTCTCAAGTGTTTGGAATGTATTAGCTGGAACTGTAACAGAGGGTGAAACTTTCCAGTCAAGAAGTAGAGAAATGCAAATTAGTAGGAAATGGGAAAAATCATAGCCAAAGTAGGGAAGTATAATTAGGAAGGACTGATGAACAAAAACTTACAACACAAAAACGATGAATCACTTGCATGCAAACAAGAGATTTAATATCCATCACGACAGAATCCTCTCGGTGTATACTGATTTCATTTCTTTAATTTACATATGCAGTTAATGATCAGTTGGTAAATTTTAGATGACATTCTAGAAAAGAAAACTAAACAAAGATAGTTAATTTCTGGAGCTTTGCAATATTATAGTTATTATTGTCAAATATTCCTAAAAAGAGATCATGTTTGTATAGAATAAAATTCTCTTTTATCTTAATATCTTTAAATGTATTTTCTGGCTCAATGTCTGAATATATTCTGAAGATGCCTAGAATAAAGTATTATATTATTTAGAGAGAATTCAAGATTATATTTTTTTTCAGTTTGGGATATTGAACACAGGGTCTTGGCATTGAGTGACATGACCTACCTTCTTAATATTTTTTGTAAGATGGTTTCATTACATTTCTATGTTCCTATTCTGGGCTTGAGCTTGTGATCCTCCTGCCTCAGCCCTTCTGGAATGCTGTAGGTACAGGCATGCTGTACCATGCAAAGCAAATTCAGAAATTTTTAAATAACCATTTTCATTGCAATTTAAGAACATTTCAGTACCTATGAATTCTGTAGGTGATTTTTCTTCAGCCAAAGTATTATCTGATAGTGTTTTACATCTTAGAATAGTGTGAAAAATCTATGATTACATGTATGGATTTGTGTTTTATTTTCAAAGCAAACAAGTCACTAATTATTCCATATAGAATTTGTGCTCTTAAGTAATTTCCATTTGGCAGTATTGACAATTGTCTTCCAAATTGTGAGAGGCATTTTTCCATTCTTCAAATTTCTAAAAATACTAGTAGTTCAATGTATTATTACTAAATGGCTGGTCCCATTCATGGCATTATTCCTACATACATATATAGGAGGCACTATTGCTTGCTTCTTTTGTATTGTATTAAAGTACATAAAACTTCAAATTTGTGTTTTTAAAAATTTTTTTTTTTGGTACCAGGGATCGAATTCAGGTCCTTGCCCTTGCAAGGCAGGTGGTGAAACCACTGAGCTAAATCCACAGCCCCTAAAATTTACATTCTTAACCATTTTACGTGTTCAGTTAATCTATCATAAACACATTCGCACTGTTGTATGTCCATCAAACATCTCCATACTCTTTTCTCCTTGGAAAATGAAACCTCTATAAATTAAGTAATTAATTCCCCATCTTCTCCTACTCTTTCCCCTGGGAAACCTTAATTCTACTTGATGTCTGAATGAATTTGACCACTCTACTTAACTGGTAAGGGTCAATATTCGTCTGTGACAGGATTAGTTCACTTAGCATAATGTCCTTAATATGTATCAGAA